GCACCCGCTGGAACAGTGAGTCGCCACCAGTGGGTGGCGGGTGGTCCTCCACCCGCCACCCACCCGCTGGAAACTTGTCATGGTTTGTGATGTTTTTCTTCGTTTTATGTTTCCCCGTGTCCCGTTGTACCCCGTTTGTCGTATATGAGTCTCGTTTGATGTTTTGAGTACCGTTCTTGGAATTTATGTGTAGTATGTGTCGTTATTGTTATGTCTTGATTGTTATTGATCGATTATGTGTTGACTGATTGAATGATGATGAGTATCGTGGTCATTGCGCAATGGCCGGTGTGATTGATGATGATGATGAGATTGTGATTGGTGGAAATGAATTGTTGGCGGTTAGCACCACTTGTGCCCGGTCATTGTACTAAAGGTATAGGCCTAGCGATTACTGTGCTAAAGACACAAACCCACCTTCGACTAGCTTGCCGTTGAGCATGTGTCAGGTTATAAGTGCTGCGGTGTCATGTTAGGGCTATATGCGTTGACCCCTTGATATTGGCACTAGAGGTGCAGATCATGCGAATGGCACTGCGGCACTATCTTGATATGTTGATGGTTGAAAGGTGGTTTGTCGGTGGGGGCATGTAGTTGCCCGGAGGAATAAGGGAGGCGATATAAGGGCGGCCTGGAGGTATAGGTTGGAAGTGATATAAGGACAGAGGGGAACTACAAGGTTGGAACTTGGTATAAGGTTGGAAGATGGATTGTGTGCTTTGATGATTACTTGCTAACTGATTGTCTTGAATGCCTTTGTTGTCTCTATTTGCTATTTATACGTTTATCTGCCTGTTATGTCTTGCAACATGTTCTTAGAACACATGTTAGTCTCTATGATTATTCTATACTGTTGAGTCTGTTAATGTGCATTGAGTCTTGATATTGGATTTAAATTAGAGTTTCGTAAGTATATATGTATTTCAGTTTCAAATGTGCCTATATTGTACTTAACGCGTTGGAGTGGGTTACCAGCAATATTCGCTGACGGTTGTTACACCAAATATTTTTCAGGTGATGAGCATTAGCTTCGGAGCACGCTAGTCAGAACCTTGGACTTAGCTTAATTAGCTCTAGCATAGTAGATGGCCTGCGTGCCTTGGATTGTATTTGAATATTGATTTACGGATTAAATATGCTTGGTTAGTTTAACCTATGCTTCTAGGTTCTCAAACCTAGGTGCGACATAGTACCCCGACTCTTATGGATAGTTTTATGCTCTGTTTGGGATAAGTAATGATAGTTTGCGTTATTTATATAAGCTTTAATTATTTTAAAAATTAGGGGTGTTACAACAGCTCATTAGATACACCAAACTACCAATAACCCGAGCATATTCTACTTGAGAAATACACTCCCCGTGGTTCTTGGTTAGATGAACGCTTCGATCTAATGGCGTCCTAGTCCTTTGATGATTATCCTTGTTAAATTTTTCAAGGATTTTATTAATATAATGTGATTGGCTCAACACAAGACCATCATGTCTTCTAATGATTCTAATCCCGAGGATTAAATCAGCCAAACCCATATCCTTCATGTCAAATATCGCATTTAACATGTTTTTGGTAGACTTGATCATCCGATCGTTACTACCAACGATGAGCATATCATCTACATATAAACAAAGAATGACATAGCCGTCTATCGTTTCTTTAACGTAGACACATTTGTCACTTTCGTTTATTCTAAACCCATTGGTTAACATCGCATGGTCAAACTTCTCGTGTCACTGCTTAGGCGCTTGTTTTAAACCATAGAGCGATTTAACCAACTTACACACTTTCCTTTCTTGGCCCGGAACCACGAACCCTTCGGGTTGTTCCATATTGATTTCCTCATCTAATTCACCATTTAGGAAAGCAGTTTTAACATCCATATGATGAACTTCCAAATTCCACAGAGCGGCTATGACTAGTATCATCCTAATAGAATTTATTCTCGTCACAGGAGAATATGTGTCGAAGTAATCAAGGCCCTCGCGTTGCCTGTAACCCTTGATTACGAGCCTAGCCTTATACTTCTCAATGGAACTGTCTGATTTCATCTTCCTTTTAAAGATCCACTTGGATCCTAGGGGTTTACTACCCGGAGGTAGATCAACAAGTTCCCAAGTGTGATTCTGTAAGATAGAATCCACTTCACTTTTAATAGCCTCTCTCCACATTGGTCCTTCCGTAGAAGTCACGGCCTCTACATACGTTCGAGGCTCGTTCTCTATCAAACAAGATAGAAAATCAGGTTCGTTTTCTAATAAACAAGTTAGAGTACTTACTCATACTCTAACAAGTATGTTAGAAACTCAGGACCAAATGATTTCTCAACTCTTGCTCGCTTACTGCGTAAGGTCATGTGTAAGGTCAAGAATACCCTTACTAACATTAGGAAATGTAAGGAACAAGGGAACTCCTTACAAAGCTCAAGGTACAACTTTGACTTTGGGGTTGACTAGTCAATTATTAGTCCCCAAGTATTGAATTTTCAGGATTTTAGGAATTAATTCACTAATTGAAATAGGATTAATTACTTAATTAATCTGTTAATTTGATTTGGATTTCGGGGTGTCACAGTTTGAGAACCCAAACAAAGAACCCGGCGAACTAGAGCAAAGCTTAGAACACAGTAGGCTAAGAGACGATAGAAGCAGAGATTTTGGAGCTGGAAAACAAGTGTCTAGTTCTGTGTGGTCACTGTGTTTCTCGTTGTAAAAATTCTGCTGCTACTACTACTTAATATATAGTAGAGGATAGTGTAAATAGCATTTACTTAGGCATTTAAATCCATGTTCAAAAACCTTCAAAATTCACCATTGAATATGATGATTAATTCTGGAATTAATTCAGTAAAACGGTAAACGAGATTAGGCTTGAGCCAAGCCTTTTCGATCTCATTTTGGGATTTGATTTACATCCCCCTTGCGTGCGAAAGAGAACCTCTATGCTATACAACTCAATAAACTTTAAAAGAGCTCTTGTATAAATAGTGGGGCAAATCCTCTTCCCAAACCAATGTGGGACAAAAGCTTCACTTTTTCCTATCATTTTTCCAACTCAAACGGGTTTGCTTTGAGAATCAATATCTCATTCACCCATTACCGTTTTGAGCGTAAAATATATCAATCTCTTCGTCTCACTACGAAGCACTCGAATCCACTTTGACTCAACCCAAATCGGAAGTGGACCCCACTGATATTTGTACCACAAGATAGCTACTTAAAATGTCACTTTATGCCAATTTATGCTATTTTTCCAACATATATATATATATATATATATATATATATATATATATATATATATATATATATATATATATATATATATATAGGTTCAGGTGCGGCGGGGTCCTCCCATGCAGCAGTGCGGCGTCACCAATAGTTGAGCGATTATACACTATCAACGTTATGAAATGCACCACAAAAACACACACAAATTAGGTATGTATCACCAAAAGCACACCATTAGGTGTGAGTAAACGCACCATACAGTGTTCGGAAATACACCATTAAGGGTGGTGAGTTATATGGTGTACTTTTTTGGGTGTGTTGTGTATTTTTTGGTGTTTATTTTTGCATTTCATTGTGGTGTGTTTTCTTACACTGTTGGTGCATGTTGTTAACACTGATGGTGTATTTCTAGAACTGCCGCTGCGCCGCCGCACCGTAAGCCCCGCCGCATATGAGCATATATATATATATATATTTGCAATAATATGCAGAGTAATATAATATATTCGGGAGAAGTGTCAAATAGGCACATCTATTACGGTCAAGTGCTCAATTCTCATCACGAACTAAACTAAAGGCTAATTAACCCCACTTACCTGCTAAATTTGTTCAATTGACTTTTTTTGCAGGTTGCTAACAGGTTACCAATCCAATTATTAAAAAACTAATTTAAAAATAATTTAAAAATTAAAAAAAAAAAAAGGAATTTCATAGCCAATGCAAGTCGGCTGCAATGGCCGAAGAACGCTCCTGATCTCTCTTTTTTCATTCATAATCGTTGTTGACTACAGAGGGGAAAACAATTAATTGTGGCTAAAAAGTCATTAGGCTTAATGGACTAGTTAAATAATATTAACTTAGGATAAAACAAAAAAAAAAACTAAAAATAATAATAAAAGTCATTAGGCTTGTGAAATTCCGTTTTTCTTCTTCTTTTTTTTTTTTTTTTGAAATTTTTAAATTATTTAAAATTATTTTTTTAATAATTGGATGGTAACCTGTTAGCAACCTGCAAAAAATGTTAATTGAACAAATTTAACTGGTAAGTGTGGTTAATTAGCTTTTAATTTAGTTCGCGGGAATTGAACACTTGGCAATAGTAGATGAGTCTATTTGACACTTCTTCCAATATATTCTCTAGTTTTACTTAGCTTTTTTGTACTATTGTGAATATTTTTATTGTTTGATTTGAGGGATATGTTTCAAGTACGTTTGCGTTTGATTTGGTCAATAAACATTGTTTCTTATGTTAAAGAAAAAAGTGGGAGGAGTAGAATATAAAAATAAGTTTACTGTGACATGATTGCTGGACGTGAACGATATATATGAAACATCAACTAGGTGTCTTATTTAATAGAGTCTAATTTTTATGTCCCTATATCAAAACAAGATATCAAAATCAATTATTAATAATTGGAACATGGGTCAAATAGACTACCAAATTACATAGAAAATTGTAATTGGATCACTAAACAACGTAAAATTATGCAATTGAACTAAAAATGACATGTTTACCTATTAATTGTTGACGTGGTCGTTACCTGATTTAAAAACTAATTTTAAAATTTTATTTCAATAATTTTAAATAAATAAATAACAAAACAAACATGCTCGGCTTCGTCTCCGAGCAACGGGAAATGAAGATAGAACCAATCATCGTCTCCGGGATGAGAACTGTAATAGATTGTATTAGCAATGATGAATTACAAGAGATACAGGACCTAAGTATATATACAAGAGGAGATAGAGGGAGACGGGGACTGGGAATCATAAGTAGACTCAAATACATAGATAGAGTCTTAATATCCGGCAGCCGGGAGACGAAGCGGGCAGTTCTTCTTCTTTTTTTTTTTTTTTTCTTTTTTTTTTTTAAAAAAAAAATTTTAAATTTTTTATTTAAAATTATTAAAATATAATATTTAAAAATATTTTTTAATCTGATAATTGCCACATCAACAAGTCAACAACTGATATATAAACATGTAACTTTTGATTTAATTGCATGATTTGGCGTTGTTCAAAGATTCAATTACATTTTTTTTTTTAGTTTGTTGGCTCAAATGCAGTGTTGTGTGTAATTTGGTGACCTATTTGACCCTTATTCATTAATAATTTCAAGATGATTCTCCATTTCTTCACCAATCACGTTCAATCTGAGTAAGTTTTAAAAAAATAATACATTTTTGTCTTCTTGCACTTTTTATCTTCTTGCCCTGATAGAAAGGCATCATTCTTTGTCTTCTTTTGCCACTTTTGTCACCATTTGACAATAATTTCCATTAACCTTTGCAAGGCCGGTTTTTAATTTTGTGTGGCCCTGTTCTTAAAATAAATGAGGCTCTATCAAAAGTTTAATTTTTTTCTAATAATAATAAAAGGATTTTTTTAAAAAATGAAAGATGTCAAAAGCTAGAATCGAACCTTAGACCTCCCAAAAGAAAACACAATAATCACATGTTTCTACCATTCCTCTATATAATCTTTCAAAATTAATTGTAATTTTTATGTCTTATAATATCTAAACTAGTTAAATAAAAATTAAATATTGGGCCCTCTAAAATTTGAGGCCCTGTGCTGTTGGGCTGCTTGCACAGCCCAAAATCCGGCCATGTACCTTTGGCTGAATTTGATTTAATCTCTTTGAATCTTTTCCTTAGTACTTTATAATATTGAACTTTCATCCTTAGTAAATGGGATAATACAATGGTAATACTCCTGAATTTCTTGACCGGACAAAATCATCTTGATAATAATTTGTTAATATGTTCTATTGGACTATGAGAACTAATGATAATAGAATGCGCTACTTGGACCAGAGAACCATGATAATATTCTTATAATAATTTGGTAATACGCCCATTGGGCCAGAGAATTGTTGGTGTGCCGTAGTTTTTAGGCTTCATTGAGTCAGATAGTAAGAATTTATTAAAATAGTTAGAAAACATGGAATTTTATTATTCGAAAAGAAATACGAAATATTTAAAATTAAGGTTGAATATTTAAGATATATCATTTTTAAAGAAGGATTACAATTACAAGAACATATAGTAACAAAAATAAAAGATTTTAAAGAAAAGTTAGATAATAAATATTAGAGAATAATATTATATTTATGAATTTAGTCTAATATTGTTTCCTAGTCTTGTGTAGTGGTTTCTATAATTTCTCTTTGCCTAGCTATTTCCTACTTTTGTGATATAATTGTGTATATATACTTGTTCATTATTAATGAAATACACAAGTTGTTTATATCTCATAACATGGTATCAAGAGCTTGATCCTATTGGGTAATTTTTTTTATTTTTATTTTTTTTATCTTCTTCATGGCTTTGGAAAACCCATCTTCCCCTCCAACTACAACTACAGATGATCCTCCTGCTATCATTCCCACCACACAAGATCCTCAAAATCCTCTTATAATTAATTTCTCAAATATAACCAAGTTAACAGACACAAACTACCTCACTTGGAGTCTTCAGATCACATCCCTTCTTGAAGGATATGATCTTCATCACCACCTTGATGACACTCATATTTCCCCTACAACCACCATCACCACTGATGGTGTTACATCACCAAATCCTGCTTATACAAAATGGAAACGTCAAGATCGTCTCATTTTTAGTGCTCTTCTTGGTGCAATATCCACTCCTTTACAACCACTAGTTGCCCGTGCCACCACCTCCCTCACAGCATGGCAACTTCTTGCTAGTACCTTTGTAAAATCCTCTCGTGGTCACATAAGACAATTAAAGGAGCAATTGAAACGGCTAACGAAGGGCACAAAATCTGTTAGTGCATACATGCAGGCTATTAAAACCCGAAGTGATGAACTTGCTTTGCTAGGTAAACCCATTGATGATGAAGACCTCATTGATCATGTTCTTGCCGGACTTGGTACTGAGTACAAATCTGTAGTTGATGCCATTAATGCCCGTGATACTACAATTTCCTTTGCTGAGCTTCATGAAAAACTCTTAAATAAAGAAGTGTTTCTTCAAACTGTTGAGTCTAGTTCGCAGATACTTCCAGCAACAGCGAATCCAACCGCCTTCCGGAACAACAATAATTCCAATCGTTCAAATCGGCGTCCGTCCAACAACAATTCCTTCCAACAAAATTCTGCCACTACCTTTTCTCCTCATGACCAGCGTAAAAGAAGTATAACAATTCTTATGAATAGTAAACTATGCATCAGTTAGAATGGGCAGCTCAATTGATTGCAGGGGGAAATTTGTCACAAAAGACCAAGGATTAAGTTTTACCTGCGATAATATGGGAGTAACCTCTCAAAATAAGGGTACCTAAAAGAAATCTAATATATTTGAGTGGAAAGAAGAGAATACGAATGCTATTAAAACAATAAAACGAAAAGTAAAATCTTTACCAAAATTAAGATTACTTATATATAAAGAAAAATCTTTTTAATATTTGGATATGGATCAAAAACCGCAAATTATGCCCTGGAAACGTGTTCACCATTCATGGTGAACACGGGTCCAAACGGTGTCGTTTTTACGGAATTTTTTTTTTGAGTTAATGTGCTGTTAACGGCGCGCGTTTGTTCAGATTATGAATTTTCTATTATGAGATTATGAATGTATTGTAAATTTATAATCTCATAACAGAAAATTCATAATCGCATAAAAGAAAAACATTTATTAAATTATGAATTTTCTGTTATGAGATTATGAATTTACAGTTATGTAATTATGAATTTTTTGTAAATTCATAATCTCATAACAGAAAATTCATAATTTAATAACAGAAAATTTATAATCGCATACCAGAAAATTCATAATTTCATAACAGAAAATTCATAATCTCATAAAAGAAAATTCATAATTTTATAACTGCACATTCATAAATTCATATATGCCTGCACATTCTTAATTTATGAATGTTGAAGAAACTTACGCGAAGAGAAAGTGAAACCGCGAAATGTGAAAATGAAAAAGAAAATTCGCGCAGTTAATTAAGAAAAAAAAAAAAAAAGATAAACAGTGCACCGTTACCGTTGGGACCGTGTTCACCATCCATGGTGAACACGGTTCCATGTATGGTGCACACGGTCAAAAACGACGTCGTTTTGACTAAAAACGCGCGTCCCACTTAAAAAAAAAAATTTAGCTTCGATTCCCGACAATAGCATTTTTGTATGCATAATTTGAATTATATATCCACAAATTCATAACTATATATCCACACAGTGAATGAATAACACAAAATCCAGAATGAATGAACAAAATATCCACAAATTCATAACTATATATCCACAATAATACTGTTGAGGGAAATCGAAACATGTATTTTTTTTTTTTTTAATAATGGAACACGCGTTTTTAGTCCAAACGACGTCGTTTTGCATGGTGCACACGGTTTCACAGCATAACTATTGGATTGTGACAGTGTTGGCTTCTTTTAGCATGATACTTGTCCAATTTGTTTAAATGGAGATAATGACAAGATCCGTAAAACAGGATCGATTTGGATTTAAGAGAAAATAATATAATACAAAAGCAAGTCAGTTAACTGATTATATATTACTCCGTATAACATAGAACATAAATTTAATGCATATATAGGGTGTGTTTGGTTGGTGGGTTTTGCCCATAAGAATGGGTATGAAAGTGATTATAATATATTAGTATTTACTAGTTTTTTACGCAAAATGCGCGATTGAGATAATGTCCAATGTTTTTTTTTTTTTTTTTTTTTTTTTTTTTTTTTTTCTAATAAGTACTTTAAAGTATATCAAGACAAGATTATATTGGAATTCTTCATGCATAGATAATTGAATGTTAAATTTGCATATATAAATAGGTCATTCTAAGTTTACAAATGCAAGATAATATAGTCAAGATTGATTATAATTGTCAATAAAATAATTGTATAGGTATGGTTAAAACCAAATACGAGACATAAGGGAGAGCAAATAAAAATTAGGGCATAAAATATTAAATATATACTAATATTGAAGAGCTAACTGCTAATTGCCAAACAATGATATTGCGAGATAGTTTTCCACTTTGATTTGTTGTGTGATTTGAATACTTTCTTTGTCAACAAATCTCTCAAGTAGTTAATATGATTGGCTTTATTAATTATATTTTTTAATTTTTTCATGGTATTAATAAAATACTTGGTAAATAAATATATAGCATTATTTTGTATTATAACTTTGATATTTAATTAAAAAATAGTGCACAAAAAAAAATAATAGACAATATAGTGAATATAATCAATTGATGAATTTGAATGTAAAGAATTTGTACATTGGAGAAAAATAAATACAATATAACTAATTAAATTATTTCTCTTATTTAATTTATTGATAATGAATAATTTTTTTTGAATAAGGACATTGTAGACACATAATTCTAAATTAAAGAAATGCATATGTATGTATTATTTTTTGTTGTAGCTACTAAATTATTATTTAATTTAATAAAAGTAAAATAGAGTACTAATTACGCCAACTTTGATTTAGATGAGGTTCGAACCTAAGACCTTTCTTATTGAAATTAATGAGTAAGTTAACGGTAAACTAACAGAAATTAACGGAGATAATATTTAACGGAAAAGTTAACGAATAATCATATTCATTAAGGGTAAATTAGGAAATCTTAAGAAAAAATTAAAATCTGATCAATCTGAGCCATTAATTTGATTAAAAAATTTGACTGCCATTTTTTTACCCATTATAGACCTAACTCTCTTGGCCTCTTATTAGTATAGTAGATAGTAGATTATAGACCTAACTCTCTTGGGCTCTTATTAGTATAGT